AATTTAAACCATCAGGTCTATTATACCAAAAGTATATTTAAATGTTACCAATAGAACTTCTTTTCCAGACGCCATTTTGACATGAAACAGTAGGGTAAACACAGGTGTTACCATTGATACTTATTAAGGCTCTGTTCCATCCAGGTCAAACAGAATCAGGGTGCTGCTGTTGTGCATGTCGGCTCACTGGAAAGGCTCCAGAAAAACCTACTGTTTCATGTCAAAATAGCTGCTGTGAAAAAGGTCTACAACCACATCAAAGAGTTTTTTCAATCCATTATCTGTGTGCAGTGGCCAGGTGGAACCAGCACATTAAATGTATGTATGCACTCGCAGCAGGAGGTGGATGGGAATGTGGGAAGACTTTCTGACCGGAAATAATAATAATACTAATAATAATTCTATTAGTATCTGACATTATCTCAGAAATTAATTGAGAAACTAAGAGAAAAGTTTATGGATAGAATATCCAGATAGGACTTTTTTAATCTTTTATCAAGATGGCACTGGCGCCTAATGGCAGCCATTGTGTCTGCTCCGTTAAAATATTGTTTTTATCATGAGTGACCATCAGGATCTCTCCCAATCAGAAGGCATGGGAGGATTACACCACCCGTTACTGGCGCCTGAGGGCCAGGAAGAATTTCTTCCCTCAGGCCAGTTGGGCCTTCAATCAATGACTTTACACACATATATACTGTAATGTATAATCCATCGCCTGCCATACATCACTGTCATATTGCATATATTATTATATGGCACTGGTTATATCCTTTCATTTTTCTGAAACTCACTAGTGGTTATATTGTTATATTTATATTGTCATATTGTTTTACTGTTTCATTTTTCTGAACCACACATTCGAGATTGAAAAATGATCATTGATCACATTGTTCCTTATTCTACTGCTCATTTTTACTCTATTTTATATATTTAACTTGATCTATTTGCAAGGTTATTTTATATTGTATTGTTAGATTCATCTTTATTTTAATTTATCTATTTGTTAGACTCATTCACGAGGTAGGCAGCTACGGATTTCACAATACGTTGTAGTGTGTGTGATTGTGTGTGTCACAATAAAAACTGATCAGATTTTTTTACTTTGATACACTGACTCAAATAAACTAATTAATAGTAGTCCTAAGCATTCCTGAAGGAACTTTTTTAATTGCAATATTCCTCTGTTTGAACATTTGGAGAACATTTTTGTATTCTTATTTTAACGTTAATTTAGTAAGATTCTGTGCCATAATAGGTGATGTTGCATTGTCAGGCATTGTAACAGAGGATGTTTCTCTGTACAGCCACCTGCATACACCTTAGTGTGAAGAGAACCAATCAATCAATCAATCAATCAATCAACAATGATGATATTGTTAGGCTATATGATACATTTAGAACTATATTATAATTCAAACTATACAGTCAAACAGGATAATGTCAACATAATTATGAAGTGTAATTTACATAGAAAACTCAAAATTTCATTATAGTAATGCAATATACAATTCATTAGTGAAAACTGTGTGTTTGGAGAACAGCAGAATTGGTGAATGCCTTAAGTTCTCCTGAATCAGTTGAATATGTTTGTATGAGTGGTTCTTGTTTGAGGCCCACAGTCTACACATGTTGTAAGTCTGCTTTCACTCACAATTTGTAAATTCTAGCTTTCACTTCCATCTTATGGTCTTCATCAGCGGACAATGTGACATGCTATTTAAGAGAGAGAGGAGGTTGAAATCTCTGGAAGCAGCTAGTAAGTGGACCTTAAGTAAGAATAGTTTGCTGGGTTACTACTTGTTTGCTTAAAGTCTCCCTTTACGAAAACCATACTGGCAATACGTTTTCCACCACTGCCAAAAAGTTGTGTCCAAAAAGTTGTGGTTTTAATCATATTTTCCAACTGGCACCTTAACCAAAGCTTTGAAAACCTAACTTTCCTCCATGAATCATGAACCATCTCCTGCTAGAATACTTCTAAAGTGCTCCCACTCTACCCTTCTATTTTGTCTCCTCCCTCTCCCCCCTCCTTCCTCTCTCTCTCTATGGCCTCCCTCCCTGTCTCTCCTCACTACAGACCTGCAGACATAAAAGGCCCAGGAAGAAGACAATCTCTCTACCTGCTCTGATTGCTGTTGCATAATTAAAGGCAATGCTCAAAGCAGGGGTACTGAGCCCCAGGTGACACACAAACACACCTCCCTCTCTCAATCTCTCATGTCTCTCTCTCATCTTTCCTCCTTTCCTGCCCTCTCCTTCTTCTCCTCATTTCCTACCCTCATTGTCTCTCATACTCTTACATTTCTTCCCTGTCATTGAACCTTTTCTTTACGACTTACATGTACATTTTTGTCCTTTAAGAAAATGAATTCCTGCAGCTGATATTTCTGAGACTGGGGACTGTTGCCAGCTATTTCACATCGTGTCAGTTAGTTTGGAGCTGAATAAATGTTCAGCCCTGCAGATTCCAGGCTGCCAGCTGAAGTTATGAAAATGGGGGTGTTTTGACTTTCTGAATTATAGGTCTTATCATCTATTAAACCATACAATCATTAAAACAGAACCACATTTGTTAAGTAAAATATATTTAAACAATTACAACAAACAACAAATAAAACCTTATAATGACTGTGTGTTTGTGTGTTCAAACATGGACAAAGACAGAGAGAGACAAGGGCAGATAATAGGATGGGTGACTGACATCGCGACAAGGGGGGGACAGCTAACATAGACTTGACCTGAGCCTTTCCTCTCCAGTGTTATCAGCAGTGTGTGTGTGTGTGTGAGAGAGTGTGTGTCGGTGCAGGACCCCTCTTTCTGATGTCTGTCTGGGTGACAATGATTGTTGGCTATTTTCTTGACACCTCAGAGACCAAAAAAAGGGTGAGAGAGAGAGAAAAAGGAAAAAAAGAGAAAAAGACAATGTCGACAACATGAAATAATCATCAGTTCCTTCCCTCTGCACCGGGGAAATATGAAACATTAATACACATATTCTCCCTCCTTCTCCTTCACTCTGTCTTCATCCTGCGCTCATATCTCTGGGGAGAAAAACTAATAAAGAGGAACAAAAATACGGGAATGATTAAAAGCTGCTTCTATGCAAGAGAAACATTAAAATCAAACAGAATGGGGTGGAGAGAGCCGGCGAGAGAAAGACCAGGAGAGAGCGAGAGGAGAGAGATGGAGGGGCAGGTTAAGACTGACAGAGGAAAGGAGTGCAGGTAGACAAAGACGGAACAAAGGGGGGGAGAGAAGTAAGAGGTAGATGATGCAGGGAGAAGGCAGGGACTGCCACTCTCTTTGTCTCTGTCAATAGTTAATATTCCAGTGCTTGGTTTGGCACCTCCACCTCATTTCTGTCTGCAAATATTTACACTGGATAGCCCTGTATTCATGTTTTCTTTGATGTGCACACACACACACACACACACACACACACAGTGTACACCATACAGAACACACACCTAACTCCTCCTGCCAGTGTCACTGTGGTCAGAGTGTCACATTGAAAGCCAGGCTGACAATATTTATGTAGGCTTGTGCTATAATGATGTTACTGCAGTCATTCTGTCACACCATTAAATTATGCCAGGAGTGCCTCAAACCAGTAAGATAAACAACAACCGACCCGCCTGCGTGCCTTGAGTCAGCTAGCCTCCAGCCTGCACCCCTCCTAGTCGGTTAGCCTTCCTGTCTGCCGTGGTCCTGTATTTCCTAAACCCTCTGAGCCTTTAGTGGACTAGATGAAGAGCCACCCTGATGTCCAGCGGCAATATTTCATTGGGTTTTTTAGGGGGTACCCCCGGGAGCCCCTAGAAAGAGCCGTGGTCCCCACAGCTCCTGATACCATTTCATCTCTTCCTCAACTCCAACCATGGTTCCACGCCCGGCGTGCACGATTGCTTACAGACCACAAAAGACAGGTGGGTCACTTTTTGTTACTCATGAACAGTGTTGGGAGTTTAAATGGGCCTAATACTCAATACTTTTGTCCTACCTGAAAATAATGGACAACTGCAGAAGACAGCAGAGAAACGCAGCGCATCCAGGCGTATCAGCTTTATTAAGACCACCTGACCTTACGGTGGCTGTCAGTTCAAGCATTGTGGGTCTCCTACTAAATCTCCCTGTCTACTAACCAAGTGTGAACCTCTTGGTGACGTCACCTATTAGTTTGGGGATTACTGTTTTAAAGACTCGAGTTTGGCGTTATAGTCGTCACCATGACAGTTTGTCAGAGCCAGTGGACATGACATACTAAGTTGAGCTGCTCTAATTGGCTCATTCTCCTTTAGAGTCCTTGGTATCTGTTTTTTTATTGCAGCCAATGGAGCTGCCCCTTGCTGGCCTTACATAGAATGCCGGTTTAAGACACTATATACTGTCAATGCTACTAACCAAGAGAATAAGGTAGAACAGGTAGGAATGCTAGTCATTGCTGCCCTCTGGTGGTTGGGAGTATTAATAACTAGATACATTAGTCTTGTCCCACAGCAACACTAAAAGAATACAGATGTGTGCATCAATAATAATTATTGAAACAGACATTTAAAGGTTTTATATATATGATATTTAGTACATGAATATAGCAGCAAATAACTACTAGCTAAGCAAAGATATAATCGAGTAGCAACAAAATAAACAAAGCGGAGCCGACTGAAAATAAAAAGAGGAAGAGAAGAGTGAGTTGTCCTGTTTTCGAGTTAGGGCATTGGAATAATAACTTTGGAATAATAACTACTTTTTGTTTTTCTATATTTCTGATATTATATACTGCTGGTATCCTGATTATTAATTTTCATGAAAACCCAAAGCCTCTGTTGTACACATTACATTTCCTCTAGATTGTTCTTTTTGTGTCTGTACCCCCAACCTCAAGTTCAAGAAGACTTTAGTAGTTTCTGTAGTAAAAGGCTAGTTGTTAGCCAGCTAATGTAGTAGTGGAGAAAGGAAATAGTATTTGGAGCTCTGTGACACTTTTCTTGGAGCTGAACTTTTGACTGGCTGTCCTTACCGAGCTGGACGCTTGATTGGCAGGGTCGCAGGCCAGTGAGACGAGATCTTTTAGGGGGTCCTGGGCCAGGTGAGGAGGATAGCGGATTGCTCCATGGGGGAAGTAGGAGGAGGACGGGAAATGAAGAGATGAGGAGGGGTGGGGACTCCGAGACAGACCTAGACAGAGGGAGAGATGAGACAGAGAGGGAGAGGAGAAACAATACAGTAAATTACATTTTGTTCTTTGAATTCAACTAATGGGAGTAAATTGTGTGTGTGTGTTTGTGTGTGCAGAGATGCACCAATCCACTTTTTTTTTAGTTCAGATCTGATTCCAATACTTAAATTTGGATATCTGCAGATACTGATAATAATACATTTAATTCAATTGGTAGTTCTGTATGATGCAGGATAACTTCCACCTGTCTCAATGTCAGCCTTACACACATTACAAATTGCTGTCTTGCTATTCTGTGTTTTGAGACTAAAATATCTTTAAAATATCCTCAAGACATGTTGAGTTAGCCAACTTTTTTTAGCTCACTCAGTTACAGATTGTCTCCTGTTACGTTATGTCAGGTTCAGGGTCCAGCGCTAGCTCTGTCCGTAAGTGGCACCTTTATAGAACAGTTTAATTACTAATTAATTCATCTCTGCTACAACATTTTGGTTATGAGCATACAATTATTAATTCATAAAAGCATTACACTATGGAATCTGGATTGGTGCATGGATTAATGCCATCAGTCCTATATCTAAAATGTTCCAATACAGATATTGGATTGGAACAGTCTCAGCTGTGTGTGTGTGTGTGTGTTACTGACCACTGTGAACAGCTATGACTGGTCGATGATGCTGAGTGAAAGAGCCCAGTCTTGGTGAGTCTTCCTGGGGGGAGGGACTGTCCAGCTCTGCCTTCTTCACTGGAGGAGACAGACCTAGAAAAATATATATATAAAAACACTGCACTTCACTTCAACACTGCAAGAACCAAAGGTGCTGGGACCCATTTATTTGTTATGTTGGTTTTAAAGAGCAACTTAACAATCACTAAAAGCTTACCCTACTTCATCATCTATTTTACTCTAAATGGGGCCATAATCTACTAAATAAACATCATGCTGTATGGAAGAAGACTTAAAACTACAGATTGAGATGGAGCTCTGTCAGACATTTTTGCAACCCATGGAGCTCCGCTGGCAATTTTTCTATCAAAAAGGAATATATTATTGCTTTAGACAAAGAGGTCTGTGGTGCGATACGTGCACAGTGGCATGTTAACGAACTTTATCTTGTAGCCTATGCTTTAATTTAATAGGTCTATAATGTTAGCTCTTTATGGTTCCCTCCTCCAACTTGACTGGATGCTATTGGATTGGTGGACGGCTGTGGCTCAGAAGGTAGAGCAGGTTGTCTACTAATCAGAAGGTCGGCCGTTCGATCTCTGGCTCCTCCCACTGCATGTTGAAGTGTCCTTGGGCAAGACTCTGAACCCCAAATTGCTCCTGATGGTCAGTCATCGATTTGTAAGTGTGTTCCTTTTCTGAAAAGCAATTCCAGCTGCCATCAGTGTATGACTATGGGTGAATGTGACATGTACCGTACAAGGTGGTCAGAAAACTAGAGAGTTGCTATATAAGTGCAGTCCATTTACCATTGGTTCTAACAATGTGGATCTAGGGAATAAAGTGTGGTTAAACAACATACTCTTTTAATCTTTGGGCTTAGGGGAAGAAATTTAGTATTTTCAAGTCAAAAGCCTCAAGTCGAAGTGAAGCTACAAGTCACTGGTGTTAAAGTCCATGTCAAGTTGCATGGGAGAAGCCAGGGATCAAACCGCCAACCTTCTCATTAGTGGACGACGCACTCTACCTCATGAGCCACAGCCGCCCTGCTCATGTGAGTCCACACCTCTGTCAGTGATAACTCATTAGCATTAGATTAATTGAGACTGAGATTAATTTTATCTGAAGGTCTGGGGGGCGGGGGGGGGTTAACTTCTTGGATGGTGGAGTGGTTTGTGGTCAAATGTCATTAGTGTATTACAATTGTGTCTGTAAAGTGAGATATTTTACTCAACTGTGTAATAATGTTATGTAAGTATTAGATCATGTTACGCAGAAATATTTCCTGTGAGAGATGTGTGAGTTGATATTTGTATACGTGTTAGTTTCTGTGCTTCCATACGGGTTGATGTTTGCTGTTATTATTCAGCCTGGGAATACTATATGAAAAAAAAACGGAGTAAAAGGGATGCATACAGTACATTTTCTAATGTTATTATAGATGAACAGTAAATAAAAGACAATGACTCACTGTTAGTACACCAAAGACACACAATGATTTCAGTATATGTAACTTGTTCAAATAGGTTCATTTAGTGATAAATTATATTTGTATTTATTATTACAGACACTGGATACTATAATGCTTATTCTTGTTCTTATTCCCTTACCTCCCTCCATGTCATCGGTCCAGTTTCTGGAGCTGCTGGCAGGAGAGGAAGGTGAGTGGTAATACTCCCCTCCTGGACTGTCAGCCTCTTCCTCCATAGAGCCAGACTTATGACGCTTACTCCTGCAGACACATATAAAGACACATATACAGACATTTAGGATCATGGTTTCATGGTGCAATGTGTTACAAGTGTGCTCTGTCTACTACCAAAGGAGCCTATTTTTCTCACTTAATAAGTGACAATAGACACAATCCAAGCCAGATTTGGAAGCTGCTCACCCTTTATGGCTCACAATTTTTCTACAGAAAAATAGACAAGACTATCTCTCTTCAAACGTTGTCAAAGCTGGGGTTAGCTAACCTTGCGAGCCAGGTGGACTTGTCCTACAAGGAACTACTGTCAGCTAATGCATGAACTACGGGTGTGGTGTAATGCTAGGTGTGTGCAATGACATGTGTGATAAGTGACTGTACACTCAAAAAAAAAAAACTATGGCGACTGCTAAAGAGATTAGCATAGATGCTGCTAACATCAGTTATATCCAAACTGTGTTTCTTTATTGAAAGAAGAGCAAAGAAAGGGCTGAAAGCTTTTCTCCATGGAAAAGAGGTTTTCACTCTTCTCCCGACTGGCTTCAGTAAGAGTTTGACTACTTTATATGGTTTGTTGATCTGACTGGTCGAAGTTTGCCTGTGATAGACGGTAAGAGACAGATGGTTCATCCAATCAACTGTTGAGTATTTTTTGAAAGCGCATGCCCTTTTCCAAACAGTTTACAACAACGACTTTCCAGAGGGTTCTGTGTAACAAACCACAGCTTTTAAACTAACCATCGGCCTCTTTCCCCCGTCAGCTAAACTTTTTAAAGATTTCGGGGACCTACAATACTGAATATTGTTAATTTGTCGTTCATCCCCTCTCTCTGCCCCCCTTTCCTGTCTGTCTTCAGCTGTCACTATAATAAAGGCAATAGAAAAGTACTTAAAAAAAAAAAGAGGTGTGCTTGAGATCATTGTCTTGTTGGAAAGTCCAATGATCACCAAGGTTTATTTGTCAACAGAAGGCATCACGTTCCTCTTTAAAATGGCCTGGTATTTCTGGGAATCCATGATGCAAGGTACACGACAAAGATTGCCAGTTCCTGCTACAGAAAAACAAGCCCCATACATCCTCATGAACCGCACCTCCCATGGCTGACCGTGGCGATTGGTATTTTCTTCTGGTCATAAGCCTGGCCTTTCACACGCCAGACATACCGCTGGTCCATTTGTCCAAACAGTTCCACTTTGGTTTCATCAGTCCATAGAACTGTCTCCCAAAACTCTGTAGTCTTATCAAAATTCCTTCCTGGCATATTCTGGTGGACTTTTGATGTCCCTTTTGGTCAATAGTGGAGTACGTCTTGGAGTCCGGTCTCAGTGCACGTCTTATAGTTGTGTGCCAACTAAAGCACTTGTAAACCAGCCTTCATCAGGATCATCCTGTCCTTTTTTTTAGGTATCTCTGAGTCCACAGGGTTTTATCTTAAGTTGTTCTACTAAGTCTGCTAAGGGTCCTTGATGGAATGTTGGACTTTCTTTCATGCCAGGCAGGTTTGCAGCTGTCTCCAAGTTTTAGGCCCGCTTCAGGTGTCGAGCAATCAATCTCCTCTCCTCAGCTCCTTTTGTCTTTCCGCATGATTTGCCAACTCATCTTGCAATAAACTTTTAATTAAAAAACCCCTTAACCTAAAAACAGAGCCTGAAGCAAATGAAAGGATTCATTCTATAGAGTCCCAAAGGCCTAAATTATGTTTCAACTCCACTTTTAGGCCTTAAAAACTGTTCAAGGAACAGCTTTTTTAATAACAGTAAAATTTAATATAGGGGTTTGAATAATTTGGTTGACAGGCTTTATTCTTACACAAACATTACTACTTTACACACAAAATACTACATCATGGGCAATTTCTGCATTGAAAATAAATGATTTAATACTATAAAGAAGTCGTCCAAGAGCGAAAAAAATCTTTGCTCTTTATGGAAAAAACTTTAAATGATCTTTTCCGACCACTCAAAGCACTTTTTTTACACTAACATGGCAAACAATTCGCCGCTTTTTCACACATTTCACCTCAGTGATGGCAACAGCCCATCGAACAAAAAACTAGCCCATTGAAAACAGAAAAACTACTCATACACATTCAAATTACTTTCGACATGTTGGGCCAATAGGAGGCGGGATCGAAGCCAACCAACCTTCCCCAATTATGGGGAAACGCCACCCAAGCTGATAAGAATAAAAAACTGGCTTTTGATGGACAAGCGATGAAAAGCAGAAAGCTTTAGGAAAAAAATATAACATACGATTGAACCCTGTGGTCTAATGTTTATACAAGTTCCCATAATCACATTAAAAGCTTGGGAATTGATGCAACAAACTGCGATGCACTGTGTGTTCTGACACCTTTCTATCAGAACCAGCATTAACTTTTTCAGCAATTTGAGCTACAGTAGTTTGTGCCGAGTCAAACCAAGTCTAGCCAAGCCAACACATGTATGGAAAAAGGATTTGCTTCACATCATAACAGCACTGCTTCACTTGATCATTACTGAAAATTCACTTCAATTTTATTTGTATAACACCAATTCAAGTTCTTGGTCTTCTTCAAAAAGAGCAGGTCTAGACCATACTCCTTTTTTAAAATGATTTACAGACACCCAACAATTCCGACCATGACACATCTCTGCTGCAACTCTCCTCCCATTTCACCACCAGGTTTAACAACCCAAAACCCTGCATAACATATCTAAATATAAAACATATCTGTGCAGCTAATGACAATGGCACTTTGCTGCTGTAAAATTATGCAAAAATAAAAACACTAAACTCAATTTTAGAAAAGTTATCAATGTTTTAACTACCTCTGACTTCTCCTTCGCAGTTGTAATCTAATCTAATACTTATTTACTTATTACCTTGCAAGTAAATTCTAAATTAAAAATGTGTATGTTACTGCCATGGTGGTAAAAATAGTTTCCCTCAACAAATTAGTTGTATGACATCTACAACCAGGCTGCCGTTCATTTTATTTTTAACTGAATCACATCCATCCATCCATCCATCATGTAAACCCACTGACACTAAAGCCCTATTCGCACAGACTAGTATTATCTTGGGACCTTATGTGATTTGAAATAATTGTGGAGGACGTCTCTGATCCTAATCCCATGCTAATCTGCCATGTCTGTAAATAGGTGGTAAAAATTCCACAATTCCAGAAACTACCTACCATATTTGGCCAAACACAGAGGTTCTGTGATCATTTTAGTCCTGCCCCAATTGGCATCTTTGTGATTTGGGGTCGTATTATTGTTTTTTCTTGCAAGGTATCAAACTGGTATTTTAATGTAACAAAGCAGAACTTAACATGAAGCAGAGTGGGGGTACTACACCTAAAATATACAGGTAATGGGTGAATTATATTGTGAGTAAAGTTATTTTTTACAGTAAGCAGAGCAGTTTCTGCAGCTTCCTCCACTGTTTCAGGCTTTTCTCCACTTTCAGCACAAAGATTGGTCCATAATGAAAATTGTAGAGAGTGCACATGCCAGAGTTCGAATCTAAGCAAACGTGTTCACACAGAGAAATTTCCAACATCACAAACCAACTTTCATGTCTGCTGTCCACAGCTGGCTGTGTGTCAGATTCTTTGCTTTGACTTCAGCATCACACAGCAGCAGAACCCATACGCACAGCTTTAAAATGAGAGAGAGGTGTGCATTTACACCAGTGGCACAGCAGTGGTAGCTTCATTAACACGCCATTATTGTCAGAAAATTCAAGTAAAATACAAACATTGCTTATC